GGAGTAAAGCGGCCTAGGCATGAAGGTGACTACTCACCTCCAACTAATGCCGATGTCAAAACACGTGGATCTATAACTCCACTCCCCCATTCGTCTTCATGGTTTAGTGCTTAATTAATTAAACTTTACGATTAAACAGCATACGTGGTGTACAATTTGTGAATAATAAACTAAGAAGAGTTTTAAAGGAAGTGGTCGTGTCCTATTTTAAGATAACATTCCATATAAGGCGGGAGAAGGGGCATGAAGAACGTGGGTCAGGATAATCAGCCTCCAAGAGCAGATTCGGACCAGAAATACACCGGATACGTGGCAGCACTTCTACCCACCTGACAGAGATGCTAGGTCGTTGGATTATAAGAGTTCACAGTTCTCTTTTATTTGTTGACGTAAACCGCGGTAGTTTTACGGTCAAAATGAAAAACTCTGGGACATGGGTAAACACCTACAGAATTAAAATATGCAGACAGGAGTATAGCGGGAGAACACAAACAGCGTATCCCTATAAGACTGCTTTTTCACATCACACATTCTAATTCTATTCAAATGAAACGCTCCCTACTGTGCTTCATTCGGAATGTCTGTGAAGTGCTTGTAAACAAATGAAACGCAGGCACCAGGACGTCTTAAAAGCGAAATTCACAACTCACCGATTATTTGGAGAGAGAGAGTTGCAGGATGACCGCCTCTGTGGTCTAGAGGTCAGAGTTACTGGGTGCAGATCTATAAGTCTCGGGTTCGATTCCCGGCGCTACCAGATTTTCTGAGAAGTAGTAGATCTGGAACGAGGTCCACTCAGCCTCGTGAGGATAATTGAGGAGCTATTTCAAGAAAATAGTGACTCCGGTCTAGAAAAACGAAATTAACGGCCGTGGGGAATCGTTGCGCTGACCACGCGACACCCTCTATCCGCTAAAGTTGACACTAACTTCGCCGACAAGCGGCAGTCGCTGGGTCGGTATAGTTCGCTTGCGGACTAAAACCACAGTTTGTTTTGTTGAGTTGCAGGACTCCAAAGTCGTGAGACAGAAAAATATGATCAAGAGTTTCGCATGACTCTAAACTGCGCTGGCGAAACCAGCAGAAATTTACCCAACAGACTACCGTCGATTCCGCAGTGTCAAACAGTTTCTTAACGTACTAATACTGTTGAAATATAGACAGGCACAACATGTACCAGGTGAACAGTACTTGTCACGCCCGTAAGTCAATAAAAATACATGTTACCGCTTGTAGCTGATTCCGAATAGAACATAATACTATTTTCTTACCAAAAGAAAGGTACCATTGTTCTGATCTTACTTTTGTGGTACTGTTAACTGAAGAACTGTAAACGAGACAGAAAGAATAAGTTTTTTACATATAAAAACGTTTACATAAGTGTGAAAAGGTAAAGCTATTCCTGTAACAGAACGTGGCGGTCCATAGGGTTGTGAGACGTCGAGACTCCCACATTTTGTACACAATCGGCTCATAGACCGCGGAGAGATGTTATATAAGCCTGAGATGTATTCTTACGCTACTTCGGGTTACCACGGCAACGAACTGTCGACCGTAAACATGCTGTATGAACACATGTAGGTCAAGAACAATTGAGCAGTCTCTTGTTTCTGTGTATCGTGTTTATTATGTGAATACTGAAAATACTGTTCTATAAAAGGGTAAAGCTATCCCTGTAATAGGCCGTGAAGACCCATAGGGTTGTGAGACGTCGAGGTTCCCACATTTCCTCTGGAGTTCAGACAATTGGCAAGCTCCGGCTTGCAACATAGTGTCCCAACCAACTACGCTACCACATGCTCCTATTTTGATATGTAAGTGTGAAGAAAACTATATAAATGAAACGGTTTAAGTCTGGTGCATGTTAAAGAATGGTGTTAAAAAAAGTCGACGACGCCCATCATTCGGCAACGTACATCAATCAATACGTGAGAGAACAGGGGAAGTTAACAGCACGAAAATTTATTTATGCGACTTCGCGTTAAAATCTCCACGGATGTTAACACAAGTCTAAGAGAAAAATGGAACAATTGTTTGGCTATCCGTGCATTTCGTGAGATGTTCTCGCTCTTTCTTGGCAGCGTGTTTCAGTGTAAAGCACTGAAAAAGCGACGATTCCTTACAGGACAGCAAACCTGAGTTTCAAACAGTTAAGATTCTCCATTTCATTACGCTAACAACATAAATAACCCAAGTAGCTATTTTTATAGTGTAGCAGTTAAGCGTTTCCAGGAAGAGCCCATGCATGTTTATCTATGCTAGATACAGTAAGCAGACGCAAATGTTAGTACACCTACAGACCTAAGCAGAGAGATACTTGTAAACCTCAACTACAACATTCCCTTATCGTACGTAGCTAACATATAAACCACGGGTCGGGAGTATAAAGGTCATATACTGGCACAAAGAGAGAACACACATGGCCTACGCATGGATGTTGGCACAGTATCTGGGCGGGGAGGCCGGATTTTGGCGGAAAAAATTCAAAACAGAAAGAAATAAAATGTACCAAATACAAGTACGGCATTAGATTAAATATACGGCAGATTTTTTTTTTCTAAATACTACTTCTAAAGAAAGGGAGGTCGCCTTATTTACGGGTCCTTTGGAATAAATATTGTAGTGTGTACAGCCGTTGCTGCGCAACGACCGCGAGATAAAACGAATAAACGACGACCGTTTCTAGGCAACGGCTCGTTAAATACGTTCCTGCGGCAATGAATACGAAAGCAACAACAGAAGAACTATGTTTTCTGATTGGTTCTTGCCGAGTAGTTAAATCACGACAGTTGGAGCAATGACTTAGTTGTGTTCTGCAAGGGAGGCTAAGAAGAGATGGCGCTATATTTAAGTTGACAGTTCGATTGTGGGATATTCGCCGGACAGTAACGACGTAAGCACAGAAACTGAAGAATATTCATTGCTGACAGCTGTTATCAAACAACGACTAGTGAAGATATTGCTGGAGAAGACTTAGTGTGTAGTGGTTTCTAAAGTGTGGAAATCAGCGATAGCGTTGTAAGTGCTTGTAGTTACGAGACGTGTGTAGGAGTGTAAGTTGTCAATAAAGTCATTCACCAGTCCATACCCCGTCTATAGTCACATATAAATCCTGACAATATGAAAAATATGGTTATGAAGAATTCTAATTGGTAATTTAAGTGATACTTGCGAAAATACATACAACTATATTTAATGTATTAAATTTCGAATTTATCACGTTACAAGGGTTACAGTTTCCAGTTTTCTCTTGCTTAAACCTGAAACTAAATGACATATTCAATTCTAAAAAATCTTATTTTCTCATTTGAGGAATGTTGTTGGCTTTATATTCGAGTTTATCCAGTATTCATGCCATGAATAAAAAGTATTTTTTTCTTCTTCTTACATTCTGAATAATCTAAAGACGCGATGGCTCAGTCGGTATAGCGACGTGTTTTGTTCACCGGCAGTGGCAAGTGATTTTTCTCTTTTCCGTAGAATACAGGCCGATTCTGTGGCCGAACCAGTCTCCTAATCACTGGGTAACGACGACTCCTTCTTCGGATTAAAGTGGCCAGGACATGAAGCTGACGAGTCACTTGCATTTAGTGCCGAAGCTTAGAATAACTAGATCTACACCTCCATTTCCTCATAAGTCTTCATAGCGTTGTGTTTAATTAATAAAGCACATGCACAACTTTACCGTTTTAAACTGAATATCCCAGGGTGATGAGCAAAAAGAGTCTTAAATGGCTTAAACATAACGTTCTGTGGGCATTCTTTGCTTCCCTCCTTGAAAAACTGGCTGACCCCCCGAAAAAATGCCGCACTATGGCCCTGAGTTCGAGTCAGCCTCTAATAGAAATGAACCTTCCCGGGGGTAAAGGGCTGCGCATGTTGCTGACAACAGCACCGCCATCTGTCAGCCGATTGTCTAGAAAATGTGGGAGCCTCGACGTCTCACAACCCTATGGGCCTCCACGGCCTGTTACAGGAATTACATTGTAGGACGAAAGGTACCGGCGGGTTTAAGAGCCTCTGATTTATTGGCAGGAGACCTAAGCTCCTAATCTTGAGCAGACTGTATATAAGCCCCCTCCTGCTTACCCCCCACGAAAGCAAACACTAGCGTCCTACAGGAAATGCATTCCTTTTTGCATAGGTTATATTACTGGCTGCTGGGTATGTCCCTTAACAAAATATACGCGCCCACGTGCACTGAAAATCCTGCAACATGACCGGCTTAACGCGGAGGTAACTCGTATTCGAGAAGCTACAGTGACCGAGATAATTCGTGGATGTATAGATCCACGTTTTCTTGATCTCGGAACTGGTTGGAGATGAGTGGTCAGCTTCACGCTCCGGCCATCACCCCCAAGGAAAGAACCCCCAGTACACATCAGATAGGAGTCCGGGTGGGGCCCAGAACCGGTCTGGACGACGTGGAGAAAATTCTTGACCCTGTCGGGACTCGAACTCCGACCCCTCGGTCGTGTAGCCCGCAGCCCGTCGCTATACCGACTGAGCTACACAATATATTAAACGCCCTGCAGACATGCACATAAATCAGACATACAAGTTATGATTTACCTTGCCATAAACCTTTTCTACAAACGGTCTTTAATTGCAATTATAAACAGTGTAAAGTCATTAACACACACATGCCATATGTTAAGTGTTTCCCTTCATTTAAACAGAGTTTAAATGAAGACAGGTAATGTGTTTTAACTATTAAAAGCATAACTGTTAAACAGTAGAGTGAAGTGTTTAACGGCGAAGAGCTAAGACCGTATGCATCGGCTGGTAAGAGAATAACAAAATACGTAACAACCACCTAGCGGCGGAAGCCTGTACTACAAGCGCCCCGCCTTCTAGAAACAAATTCCGGTGTTTTTTGGGCCCTCTTCGTATATACTGTACAGGAGAACCGTTTCAAGCTCGCTCCAGGATCCCCATAGCAAAGGCCAATTGCAAGCGTGAAGGAAACCTCGTAACTCGTTATGAAGTAAAAACGCCAAATGATATCAGCATCACAGTTACGATGCGTGAGGCAGAATCAGGTATGTGCTGGATGCATTTCAACTTCTCACAATGGTCTCTTTTAGATTTATGACGATGATGATTGTGGAGCAGTCGGTGGAATAAGAATTTGCTGGGGAAACCGAAGTACTCGGAGAAAAAATCTCATAGTCCCACTTTCTCCACCATAAATCCCACACGGCCTGACCTGGGCTCGAACGCGGACGACCACGGTGGGACTAACCACCTGAGCTACGGCACGGCCGTTCTCACAATAGTCACTAAGAAGAATACTACAGTTTTGGATGTGACGCCGTGTAGTCTCGTAGAAGTATACAAACATCTCGGAGAATCATACCGCCTCCAGGCAAGCTATAAGCAGAACACTGAAAATGCCCCTACGATATTGGTGGGAAAGCCAGAAGGAAAGGGACCACTGGGAAGACCAATGCGTAGTTGGGTGGACAATATTAAAATGGATCTTAGATAGGATGGGATAGTAGGGATTGGATTGATCTGGCTCGCGATAGGGACCAGTGGAGGGCTGTTGTGAAAACGGTAATGAACCTTCGGGTTCCATAAAATGCTGTGAAAATTCTTGAGTAGCTGCAGATTCGGCTTCTCCTCAAGAAGGGCTCAGCTCAGAATGTCCTTACGAAACGTCGGTGAAAACTTTTATCTAACTATATGGAAGCACTTCTCAGAAGATGTTTTTGTTCGCGTATGTATCAGATGCACAAAGTGGGCTTTAAAGGGGCACATATTTCTGTCGGATGCTGCCTGAAGGCCAGGAACGAAATGACGTCGTCTTGGCAATTTATGTAGTCTCTGACTTCGGGAGGAAAATGCAGATCAAAGGAATCTGAAAACCATTCGTTCAGGAAAATATCTGGTTTGTAAGAACAATGACGTAATTGCGCTATTAATACCGGACGACTAAATGAAAGGCCGCACGGATCTAAGCGTAACACGCATAATTTTGCACAAAACCAAATTCCTTTGGCTTTAGTCCGCAAACGAACTATACCGACCCAGCGACCGCCGTTTGTCGGCGAAGTTAGTGCCAACTTTAACGGATGGAGGATATCATGTGGTCAGCGCAACGCATCCCCACGGCCATTAATTTCGGTTTTCTAGACCGGAGCCGCTATTTCCTTGAAATAGCTCCTCAGTTATCCTCATGAGGCTGAGTGGACCCCGTTCCAGACTCACTACTTCTCAGAAGATCTGATAGCGCCGGGAATCTAACCCGGACCTCTGGATCTGTATCCAGGAACTCTGACCACTTTACCACAGAGGCGGTCATAGTTTGTACATAACGTACCTAAATACGTCCGTATATTTTAATACGTTGACCGTTTCTAGAAAAACGAATTGGCAAATACACGTACGTTGCCACGGAGAGATTACGGATGGATGCGAAAACTGAAAGTTGTAAACACTTAGAAACGAGACCGTTGCTTCGGAATTGACCCACGGTTTCCGAGACAACGCATTCACGAAGAGCAGTGGGGGAACCATTGGAGGTGGTGACCTCTGTTCGGTTCTCTCGCAGTTATAAAAGGGAGTTCATTCATGCACGCAATTAAGTCTGAAGAGAAGATTCAAATCTGAGACAGTAAAATATGGCCTTGACCCCTGGGGTCTAGGACTCGAGAAAGGCTGCGCTGGCAAGAGCCAGCAGTATATACAAAAGCAGACCCATCCTCTCGTCAAAGAGGACGACCCACAAAATAAGACTGTAACTGTCAAACAGCAATAAATATCTGGTCATGGGCCCCAAACGGGTCTCGACACCAAGACTTACTGACTGACTGACCGTCAGTCGCAATGTGACTTTGACTTTGATCCCATTAAGTCAAAGATTCTTCAGAGCTTTCTTAAAGTAGGAGTCTTAATTCATCCGTAAGAGAAGTCGGTAGGAGGCTCCACATTTTCTAGACAATCGGCTCACAGATGGCGGTGAGGCTGTGGGCTTTACGCGCCGGCCGCCCTTTACCCCCAGATAGATTCCCGGTACTCATTCCTGTTAGAGGCTGAGTCGACCCCAGGGCTATGGTGTGGCTGGAAGGATTAGGTCAATTGAAAAAATTTGATGACCTCATGGGAAATCGAACCCGCGACATTGAGACTTGTAGCACAGTATCTTAACCAACTAAGCTTCCGCGTACACCCATCGATTTATCGAAAAATTAAGAATATTTAAATGTTAGATATTGTAACGTGTTTGCTGGTTACTGATCCCACTTCTGACACCAGTTGTCGCGTATCGGGCGTATATCGCGACAAATAACTTCACGATGTATTCGATATAGCGAATTTTATTTCACATTCGCACTTACAATCACCCAAATTACAGATTTACGATTACTGCTATCTGCAGTATCACAATTAGTACGCTCCAAATGCCACAATACAACTGACTAGTTGCTGGCTAACTCGGAACTAACTCGGAGGTAGCTCGAGGACTCACTCGGCGGTAGCTCCAGGACTCGCTGACTGACTCAGTACAACTGACTCGGCGACTGTTACAGTACAACTGTGTTAGGCGGCTGCTACAGTAGAACTCTTGGTACCCACATTAGAACTGACTGGTACCAGCTGTGCAGCTCACTTATATAGCTGCAGTGCTTGCTTGTTGCGTAATGAGTGCCACGTCATCCTGTTACGTCACCGCTGTTGATTCGCCTTGCATAGTTACCCGGTTACGGGGCTCGGCTATCTTCGGCTCCGCTCGGCACGTCACCGCGCGTAGCTGCCAGGATGCGGGGTGATTACTCGCCTATTACGCGAGCGTTACGTTACCGCTGAGGGGTGGGAGGGGAGCGCTGACTCACCCACCGCGTCACTGCTGGTGTGTGTGGGGGGGGGGGCTCGGCTTTGCGCAACATGTCACAATATTTTTTCCTCATTCCTTCCACTGATTAGACTCCGGTGTGTTTATGCATTATTTAAATATTAAGAAAGTAACTCCAAATATAAAATGCATATATATTTGTTCTATTGTTTTCAGAAACTGTTAACATTCACCACAGCCCTACTGAGCTTATACTGTCTGGTTTCTTCATCTACACGTGGCGGAAGCCAATCTGTTTCGAGCCCAGATCTTCAACGCCTTGCACGTCAACTCTCCCCAGCGTACAACCAGTGCAGTCACCCTTTCCACAGCTACTTGTGCAACCCCGCTCCGAGATCAAGAACAGTGACTCCTGAGGGGTCCGCTTCGTTCACTGTGAAGCAAATAGAGAAGCCATTGGCTTCTGCACCCGCTCCGTCATTTGGGGTCAAGACCATTGCAGTACCACCAGAGCTCCAACCAGACCCCTCTTCAAACAACTTCCGGAAACAGACACCAAAACAACTCATAAGCCCAACTAAAGCGACGATAGAAGATCCTGCATTTGCTAATTGTCAACAGCATACTATCACTGTAGAACCACCTACTACACAAAAGACCATAGTTATATCAGGCGAGAGTTCTTTTTCGAGGGAAAGTAAATTGGCTCCAGAGCCATATTTGCCTCCACCTGAGCCTCGGTTTCCTGCACCATCATTTCAGCAACCACTTAAACTTTCTCTCCCTACCCAACCGCCAACCAAGAAACCTTTATCAACTCCTGAATATCTTCCTGAAACATATCCCAAACCATCAGCTACGTTTGTTCAAAGTGAAAACATTCTAACTCCATTCCAAAATAAAAATTTCCAAACAACCACCACAATACCAGAACGTTTTTCAAGTACAAAAACTGAAAGAACATTGTTCGAAGGACAAGCAGCTGGCTCTCCTGAATCAGTAATTCGTAACGATAATGAAGTTGATAATTGTAAACATTCTTTTCACAGTTTTCTGTGTAACCCACCTTCACTCTCTAGAGGCAGACGACCGATCACTAATTCGAGAACGAAGCCTATATCTTCACCGACAGGAGACAGCACTTTTCTAGACCCTTCTAAAGTACTACCACCCATACTGCCTGCCTCCCAGAAAATCAAACCGAAACCAACCACGACTTCAAGACCTACTTATATATCAACAACGCCTCCAACAGAGACAAAGATTTTTGCTGAGGCAGCTGAGGATCCCGTTCAAGTATTACCACTACAAGATCAAAAGCAACCGAGTATTTGCAAGGATGCCTTTCATAGCTTCCTGTGCCAACCGGTTGATACATCTCGACGAAAACAGAAATATGGGGAAAGATACCAAAGTTCTGCTGCACGAACGCCTGTTCCTTCTGCCCCTTTAAGAGGAGACAGCTCATTCAATCAACCTTCGAAAGTATTACCCAACTTTAATCAACCCTGCAATACTACACCTTCTACTGAAGCACCAAGTGCTTCATTTCCTTCACGCTACACACCAAGAGCTGAGAGTTCATCCCCGAAAAGAGACAGTTTAGGAAACCAAACCAAAGCTATCCCAACTACAAACAGACAATTCGTGAGTTCCTCCACTATTCTGCCAACTGTTCCAGTTCCAAAACCAGACAGCACCTTCATTCAACCTGCTAGATTACTGCTCCCATCGACCCAATCCACTACAATGCGCGCTACTCCAGGGGTACCAGAAACTCATATCCTTAACGTGCCGGCAGCACAAACTGCAGATGTCTCTGTAGTTAAACCTGAAGATGGCCATAGGCACGATCACAGCCATGATCATGGTCACGGACACGATCACCATGGAATCGATATATGTAAGGATCCCTTTCACAGCTTCTTATGCATTCCTGTCGTCCCCTCTAAACGTAAACGTCCAACAGGAGAACTTCCAGCAAGGTTTAGAAACCCAGTACCTCAGAATCTCCTAGGCGCTGGTTCTTTCAACCAGCCTGCAAAACTACTTCCATCTAATGCCAAGAAACTAACAACTAGACTACCTGTAAGGAGTACAACCACTTCACTTCCACCAGACGAACCGATAAGCCCTACCCAGCCTGCACAAGGCTTTCAAGCAAAACTGTTGCCACAACCTGAAATTCAGCTCGATCCAAAGGAAGAACATTCAAGAAAACGGCTATTAGACATTTTCTCGTGTGATAAAAATAAATCGACTACAGAAAATCCTGCAGCATACGAATCTCCTCTACCCTCTTCTAATCTGAAAGGAGACAGTTCGTTTGTGAACCCATCGAAAGTTCTACAGTCTGTGTCATTAAATGATCAGAGTAGCGAAAGCAAAGGTTCAGTACTTGGGTATGAGTATCCCACACCATCTCCCAGCCAACAAACTGCAACCCCATTACCAACGTCGGCACAAAACACAGGCTATGTTTATGATCCACCATCTAAACCACTACAGTATCCAGCATCTTCATTTAGAGGAGACAGCACATTTATCCAACCACTGAAAATTGCGCCTAATAATTTTTCAGGCCAGAGCACTGAAAATCGCGAATTTTCATCAGGATTCAATGAGTTTTCTGGATACAATTATCCAACTCCACAGAAGCCATTTGGGTATAGCACGATATCACCATTAACAAAAAGTGTTTTATCGGTTAGGATTTCTGAACAAGACACAAATAATCAAGAAGACAAACCAACAAAATCAGTTCAATTCCTTGACTCGCCATTTGGTGGTATACTTGGGACTTCAAGTAGCGATACTGAATATAGGAAAACGCTTACTCCATTCTCTACACATGGACAAAGTACAAAGGGAATCATTCCACAAACACCTCCATACAACCCATATTCAAAGCTCGCCGAGCGGGATAATCAACTAAGGTCTTTTGCGAAACTCGGAGGTGAGACAGATCCGAAACCAACCTGCGACCACTCGCTGCCCCAGAGTACTGATGTCCACTCACCCCGTTCGGCTCCGCCGTCTCCTTCAGAATTTGTACGAGGACCAACAGGTGCCGCGAGCGTCCTGGCAGCTTCAAATGAACTGCCGGATAAATGTAACCATCCATTTCTTGGATACGTATGCAAGAGATCCAGTGATGGACAAGTTCACGACAAGTGACTGGCCACACCCTGACAGTTTCTAACGATTTAGTGGACAAATGTAACAACACATTACTTGGACACGGATGCAAACAGATACAGCGACAGCAAAGTCCACAAGGACAAGTTAAGAAACCGACCCCGTCCTGCAAAACCAAATGCTCCGTCATTCCCTCTAAGCGAGTTTTCTTACACAAAAAATTGTAGTTTCAATTTTTAAAACGTGTCTTCTTCTGGACTACGGCCTTATGTTGCATACTCTGGTAAATGGTTACTAACGTTTTGGAGGAACGTGCTACCTCCATCTTCTCCTGCACAGACCATGGAAGGAAATCTCTTCGAAACGTTTGTAACCAATTATCAGACGATATGATGCCATTTCAGACGACCAACATCTTCATCTTAAGAGCCTAGCAACTAAAATACAAAACTTCCCTTCTAGGTATAAAAACAAAATTGAAGGTAGACCAAAAGAAGATTTGCGAAGTCACTGGACACACGTAGTCTACACCGCTTCCCATAACCATCGCCATCACAGGCAGGTCTGAACCCTTAGAGCCTTTTCGTTTGCCTATAAGAAAATCTGGCCATTCCAGCACGACTTCAGGCTTCCAATGAATCTTGTTCCTCTAGGTATACAGTCCATCGACTGCGCTCAGGTTCCATGCCTTTAACACCATGAATCCAATTAAGTGTATTATTTCTTACCTAAACACTGTGTTTCTAATTACTTACCCATGGAGCGGAGCCCTACTTGGGGAGAAGCCAAATCTGCAGCTACACAAAAATTTCCCAGCATTTTATGGAACCCGAAGGTTCATTATCGTGTTCACAAGAGCCCTACACTGGTCCCAATCCTGAGTCAGATCAATCTAATCCATACCATCCTATCCTATCTCTCTAAGATCCATTTTAATATTGTCCACCCACCTACGCCTTGGTCTTCCCAGTGGTCTCTTTCCTTCTGGCATTCCCACCAATATCCTATATGCATTCCTCGTTTTCCACATTCGTGCTACATAGCCTTCCCACCTCATCTTTCTTGATTTGATCATTCTAACTATACTTGGAGAAGAGTACAAGTTATGAAGCTCCTCATTATGCAGTTTTCTCCAACCTCCTGTCACTTCATCTCTCTTCGGTCCAAATATTCTCTTCAGTTCTCCGTTCTCAAACACCCTCAGTCTATGTTTCTAACTTGATCCTTTAATTCGCTTAATGTGAATCACAACTATTCTTACTGTACGCGTATAGAAGGAAAAGCTAGTATTTCGAAATTCGGTTAAGAAACAACTGAATTCTTACATCCCTTTGATATTCAAAATATTTATATGACATGTTCCGTTATAACACGAGCAATGACTGAATCCCAGGCTCTATACCAGACTTGTTTCTTGCTTAAGACAGCGAGACGACTAATAATACTATTATGGCGAATGTCTTTCCGTTTCTACGAACCAGTTCAACGAGGAGAAAACACAGAATAGAGTTTACGGATAGTACTTCTACATGTCTAATATTGAAATTAGTTTTATTAATTTAAAGTAAAATGTTTGGTTGTGACCGGCCTATAATCCACAATGTGTGGCAACAATATCAAAGTGCGGAACACACATTGTTAAAAATACCCCGTTATTACATGAAATGTGTTTTACGGTACAAAACATTTCTTGTAAAATTGTGTTCCGTTTTATGTAAAAGCACGAAAGCCAGAAGGAAAGCGACCATAGGGAAGACCAAGGCGTAGGTGGAAGGACAATATTAGAATGGATCATAGAGAGATAGGATGGGATGGTATGGATTGGATAGATCTGGCGCAGGATAGGGACCAGTGGAGGGCTCTTGTGAACACGGTGATGAAGCTTCGGGTTCCATAAAATGCTGGGAAATTCTTGTGCAGAATTGGCGGCTCCTCAAGAAGGGCTCAGCTCCATGAGTAAGTAAGTAAGTAAGTAAGTTTATGCAAAAGCACAGAATTTACAAAGAAAAATTTTAAAGTGGCTTAAAATGTTATTTATCTTCTCCGTTTGAGGAGAACTAAAACATTCGCATATAATCTCAAAGCATATTTTAAGTTTCATGGCTTTCTTTGTGAAATACTGCAACGATAAGGAAGTCATGATGCCCTTTCATCCTTGTATTAATTATATTAGGATAAATAAGCAGAAAGAGCATAAAATAATGAATATGTGCCAAATTATACGTAGATTATCGGCCATCTTACAAAATTCTCCACTCTTATAATTCAAAATGTATTTACGTGGGGAAATTCATAATCACTTGTTTCTGAAGTGGACATTGACATTTCGTTTGTAATATATTAAACAAAGAGTCCATACTGAATGTTACCAACATAACAAAAACTTTAAACTAAAGTCGACTAAGCAAACGAGTTGTTACCTACACAAATTTCGGAGCAAGAGCCATACTTCGAACATGGCAGCCTTCAAACTACAGTACTTCAGCCATAGTTTGTACACTCCCTAATAAGTCCAGAAGTCGCCATGGTAGCACACTCTGAAACCACTTGAACTTCCTTTGCATCTTTGATGTGCGAGCCCTTCAACCGATCCTTCTAAAAGTCCAACTCCTACAGCTGTCCCTCACTTTCCTTCAGAGATTCATGAACACTGAAACTGCGATGCCCCTCAAAAGCCTCAGACTAGCCATAGCATCTTAAGCTAGTCCTCTGTTAGATTTCCAAATTGATGGAAAAATTGAATTGCTTCTAGTTCCTTGAAGCGACCTTTATCTCCATTTCGAAACCCTGCACGTACTGTGCTCTTCTCGTGGCACCATTATTCAAGCTATACTGAGGTAGCAGAAAGATGTTCCATGCATCGACCAACTTCACATTCTCACCTCGAGCACACCTCCTTGCAATCCCCTCCAACTGTCTTAGCCGGTCTGTTCACAAGAATTCTTGTTGTGACAAACTTCGCTTATGACAAGCGCTTTGATCTTGCTGTCATAGGAGAGGGCCCGAGGGGAATACAATAACAACAGTCATCCCCACTATCCATGGGACATCTTTCTGTGACCTCAATATAACTGACTACGTGTATAGAGTTTGTTTATCGTCACCTGCTTGAGCAGCTCAGATCCTCCCGCCATGAAGTCTCTTATATTCGCTATTATCTCGGACATTTCTGAAGCGGCACGCTTTATCCATTTCAAACACAAGTCATAAGGAAAATATCTATTTTTGTGCAGCAGTTGCCGAGCTCTCCAACAACAATACGGCCAGAGGAGTGACAAGAAAATAATTTTCTTCAGCTTCTTCATTCCTTCATTTTCTTCTTTTTGTTTCTATATTTCTTCTATACTTCTTTCATCTCAATTTCTTATGCTTCCTCCTTATTTTTCTCTGCATTCATCTCTTTTTTTAGTCCCTTTGCTGTTCCTCCTTTTCCAGTTCCTTCGCTCCTTCTGCCATTCCTCCTCCTTTTTCTTCCTTCTTCTACTGCTTCTTCTTCTAGATGCTGACCTCCATAATTCTGCGTGTACGAGGTGGAAGGGACACAAGTCCCATATACTGACACCTTCAGTTCTTTTCAAAAGAGATTAACAGTAATACTCTAGTACTTGAACTTACTGAATGCTGGGTACAGGTGGAAATGCTTCATGCTATGTGAGCCATTCCTGAGGCACTGTTATGGAAGCAATACAAATTGATCCTATTTTCTGTATGGGCAAATGAGTAACAGAAGTCAACTTAATAATATATTGTACAGATAAGTTGGCTGAAAATAACGACTTCAAATTCCATATATAAACGCCATACGCGTATTTGTAATGCATATTTTTTGTAAATAATGTACATAGGTGTACATGACATAATTATATGAGTGTTTATTTGAATTTAGTTACCATAAAATATATATTATTTTTATCATTAACTATGAATATCAACCAGTAGCACTGTTACTACTCTACATAATACGTTTAACGAGTCACACTTATATTCTTAGTATTATTCTTGGCATAAAATATGTATCCATATATCTCAAATAAAACATGTAAATGGCAATATCATATTACATATATATAATCATATATATTTATAGAAGCCCGTATTTTATGTTTTACCTTATACAGTCGTACCTCGTGCTTAACAACTTACCGCGTCCCCTAATTAGGGTCGTGAGTCGAGTCCGTAATAACAAGGGACGTATAGGGTTACGTTCCTGAAGCTCAAAGCTCGGACATTTGTCCATATTTTCACATCCATTATGCTATAATTGTTTATGTGCAATAAAATCAATAAAGAGACATCAAACAAAGTAATACCAAACACCCGAACTATTAAATATAATAGAGAAATTAATTAATTAACATTTTCCTGCAGATCGTTAAGATTCGAGTCGCCAAGGCGTAGTCTGAATTTCGTGTTGAGAGTAAGACAGAACATTCAAAGCGCAAGTGTGATGTGTCTTAATTTAATGGGAATATTTAAGTCCGGAAATTGGTATATCTGGGAGTTGTTTGACGAGTTACGACTGCATATGCTGCAACCACTGAACACCTTATACCATATGTCCTGTTCGCAATGTACAGTATGGCAAGAGACCCAAAGGATCATGGGTCTTTATCAAACAGCCATACATGCTATGAGTCCGAGTAAACATCTCCATCTGATATTCGCTAGACAATAATAAATTGCAAAGGAAGTGGAGGGATGCAGTAGTTGTCTAATCTCTAACACTAACCCAGAATTTGCCAGGATAAACTGAGGAAAAGCACGATAAACATCAGTCAGGGTAACCGAGCTCAAAGCCAAGATTCTAACTCAGAGCTTCACGAGTACGAAACAGCAGTGATGCCCAATCTACTGAGATGTTCAGGCAGCATACACACTTCGAGAGACATCAAGGAAATAATGTAGAGCTATATTTCCCATACTAACTCCATGGAGCTGAGACCTTTTGAGAAGTCCCCAGATGCGTAGCTACTCAAGAACTTTCCATACAAATTTTATGAAACCCGAAGTTTCATTTCCGTGTTCACANTACCTATATCACCAAAATCCTATATGTAAGTTTCGAGGTTTTCACGGCGGTGACTATGAACAATTCTGTCTCCGACGTAGAATCTGCTGCCGTGGAGATATTGTGTTAAGCGACGTTTCGGATAACACAATATCTACAAGGAGCCACATCCAGGAAGAGGGCATTCGTCAAAATCCTATATGCATTTCTCTTCTCCTCGTTCTTGCTACATGCCCTGTCCATTTCATGTCCCGTGACTTGATTATTCTAATTACGATATGTACTTGGCGAAGAGTACAGGTTATGAAGCTCCTCATTGTACAGTCTTCTCCAACATCTTCCTTACCTACTGGGTCGAATTTCCACGATGGATTTTGTTAACCAGACCGAGCAGGTTGATGTAGCGGTAACGCCCTACTCACATATATTCGGGAGGTCCTCGGTTCGGATCTCAGCTATCTCACTGAGGCTTCACGTGGTGTTCGTCAGTCCCTCCAGATAAATGCCAGGATTCTTCCCGGAGTAGGCCACAACTTCATTCCAAATTATCATTAATCAATGATCATAACATCCGATGCTATATAGTGCAGATCAGGGATGAGAAACGCGTCTCATTCCGCGTGAGGGCAATCTTCACAGTCACCGATGTAAGAAACCTCAAATCTAAAACAATGGACAAGTTTTAAGGTTACTTCTTATAAATGACCGTCTACACTCATCACAACAATTTTGTTTTAAATTTACTAACAGACGAGTTTCCGTCTATCTGCCTTCTTCAGTAGCGACACGCGGTAGAGTACTTGGTTGAGGCGCTATGCTACAAGCCGGAAGGTAGCGGCCTCCGTAGTCTAGGGGTAACGTTCCCGCCTCATGACTCAAGGTACGCGGGTTCAAACCCGGCGGAGGTCGTGGAATTTTTAAGGGTGGAAAAATTCAGGGAACAAGTCCTCCGGGAGGGACTTTAAGCCCTGGGTCCCGTGTCGTAGATTTACGGCACGTAAAAGATCCTCATGTCTCTAGGAGACCTCTGAGCAAAATTANGGGGGGGGGGGGACGTACAATAGACTACTAGTCGCGGTGCATGGGGAAACCCACCCCCTCTAATACTAATACTAATAAAATACTGACGGCCCTGGGGTCGACTCAGCCTCTAACAGAAATCAGTACCACGAATCTTCCTGGTGGTAAAGGGCGGCCGGAGCGTAAGGCTAACAACCTCACCGCCATCTGTGAGCCGACTGTCTAGAAAATGTGGGAGCCTCCACAGCCTGTTACAGGGATAACATTATCTTTGCCTTCTTCAGTTCACTTGCAACAAGTAACTTTAATAATATAAATCATGAACATTCAATCCATCAAGAATTCGATACGTATGTTGGAAAAAAAAATGCTGCTGGACATTTTTCTCCTGAAGACAGCATTTATGCTAGTATGAGCAAAACGCTTCCTCCTGCGACCTAGAATTCCGGACATCAAGGAACTGCAAATCAATCTACATTCTAGTAAAGCAAGGATTGATCTGAGACTTAATTTATTCAGCTTTGACAGATTCCTGTGGACACCAGCTTGAGTTGACACTCTGTAGTCTGTAGTCCTAAAATGCAAATGTTTGCCGAAGGCGCAGAAGTGCAACAGCTGCCGCAATCTATCGGAAATGTTGTGTACAAGTCTCAAATGTATTCTCACGGGAAAGACTGGACCGTTGAATCAAACAAACCTTTTTACTGACACGCATTTAAATAAACGAAAATGTCAACAAGAACTGGTTTTCATGCTATCGATTCGACAACAAAGTTCTAAACAGGAGAAAAAATCCTAACCGTGCAGTTCAGTGATCTAATAAGATTAAGTGAAAGTTTTCTTCAAAATGCCACTAAGATGAAAAGAGTATTCGAGTTTTTTAATTACAAGAGAGAAACAATTGCGAGATTCCGTATATCACGGACAAACAAGAAATGCTAGAGCAAGAAAAACCAACAATACTGTCTTAGACTCAATTGTTGGAAAATATTCGTGATCAGATCCAGATATAGTGAAAATTAGAGACAACTGCATACATCACTTCACGCCGATTCGGAAAATGGTAAGCATGAAAAGCGTACTCCATAACCCAGTATATATAAGTACCGATAGCATTATTTGTAGTTTAGCAATAAGCTTGATTAAAAGTGAGAATAAATTAGTGAAAATACATCATACTTATTTAAAAACACTGTGGAAGGTTTTACGGAATACACGGAAAATTGGATTCATGGGCCAAATGTAAATTATGACTTATGTGAATCCATATTCTAATTGCCAAATAAGTATTAATGGAAGTCACTCGTATCGAATTTCAAGAAAATCTGTGACACATTTATGTAATAGAATGACTGACTAGCTCACTGACTGCTGGCCCTCGCCAGCACAGTAATTCTTGGTTCCGAGTCCCACAGGACTCACCGCCACACTTTACTTTCTGACGGCTCTGAGAGCCTTCAGACTTCAGTTGTGAGTGAAAAGTCCATATTTGAATTTAGGAAAACTAGGTTTTATTTTGAATTTGTTCCGGATTCGATCCCGGTTCAGGTCATGTGGAATTTGTGGTGGGCAAAGTAACCTTGGACCGGTTACGGTAGCCGAGCGGTCTAAGGCATGTACTGTCTTCGCTCGCTCGGAAGCCGGGATCGTGGGTTCGAATCCCACTCAGGGCACGGATGTTTAGTTTGTGTGTGTGCGTTTTTCTGTGTTTGTGTACAGGTAGAGGCCTTGTGACGAGCTGATCACCCGCCCAAGGAGTTCTACCGTATGTATAAGAACTAGAAAAACCAAAGTGAACGTAGAAGTTCATGGAGGTAGACCTAGGCCCACTGGGGCTGTAGTGCCAAGAAGAAAGAAAAGAAAAAAAGGTCACCTTGGGCCGGTCACGGTAGCCCAGCGGTCAAAGACATGTACCGTCTTCGCTCACTTGGAAAACGGGTTCGTGGGTTCGAATCCCACTCAGGGCATGGATGTTTAGCTTGCGTGTGTGCGTTTTTCTGTGTTTGTGTTCATGGAGAGGCCTTGCGACGAGCTGATCACCAGCCCAAGGAGTCCTACCGAATGTGTAAGATCTAGAAAAACCGAAGTGAATGGAGAAGTTCATGGAGGTAGACCTAGGCCCACTGGGGCTGTAGTGCCAAGAAGAAAGAAAAGAAAAAAAGGTCACCTTGGGAGCAGGTTTTCTCCGAGTACTTCAGTTTCCTCTGCCAATTCGCATTCCACTGATTGCTCCACAATCATCTTCTATCATCTGGAGTTGGTACCAAGTATACTCAGTCTCACGCCATGAGAAAAATAAAAAAAAAATGTTGGTAGAAATGATTGGTGAACGTTAATAATCCTATTATTCATTTAGCGACGTCATAAGTACCGATGAATATGTCTATGTTTTCAGCTTGTATAGTAGGCGCGGGCGTGGTCTTGGATCCTTGCCTCGCCTCCTCTTCACCGGAGGAAAAGTATGGGAGTGATAGTAGCATACACAATAGCCCGTGAGATAAAACGTTCCGGTTCGATTCGCTTGCAGTCACAACGACACAAATTGCTGAAGTTCATTTCTCCAGTGACGGAATTCGTTTCTGTATCTGGCCTTGTTCCTCCTTTTTGTTTACACCTGAGTTCATCTGCTTGTCCCGCTTTTGTTTCACAGTCGCATTTAACATTAGAGTAGTTCCAACGTCAACTCGTAGCAAACCGGAGCCTTTGCTGCGTGGTGTGTCACGTTTAGCTTGAGACTCGTGTTTCATTCTCTGTGGCTTGCACAGCGCCTCCATTGAACACACGTCTGCAGTTAATACGTCTTAAATAATCTTGTTTGTGAATGTGAAAATGCTTTAATGAAAAGGTAAGTTTGTTCTTGCTTAATTAAACATCTCGAGATGATTAAATGTAACTGTTTTCCAGTGTTTATATTAGAATGTAAAATTTACTAACTGATCTACCCGGCGTTGCATGGCGGATAATCAGGAAATTATGTTGTAAGATTTGAGGTTTTCACGGCGACTATGAAGAAAGCAGTCTTCTTGGATGTGGCACCGTGTATATGTGGTGTTAACCGACGTTTCGGGGGAATATATCGCCTCCATCTTCATGCTTGTACCGGTTCTCACAGTCTCTTCGCTTGTGGATTTATTTTTCCTTCTACCCCGAAGATGGAGGAGATACGTTCCTCCGAAACGTTGGTTAACACCACATCTACACGGTGCCACATCCAAGAAGACTGCTTTCTTCAGGAAATTATGTTGGTCGTAATAATAATATATAAAGCATGGAAATTAACTAATCCATTACAATGTAAATTCTTGCATTTTTATGGATTATATAAAGTTACTTTTACATATGGGAAAATGAAAGAATTCATCACATTAAGACACATATTTCTCAAGAAAAAAACACAAAAATATTTCTTTGAGAGAGACAGGGATTCCAAAATTTTAGAGTGTTTCAAGTGCCTGAAACTTCCCACGTGAAGTCTTCTACAATCATCCCAAATTTCGTCGAAGTAAGTGCGACGGTGTGGAAATCTATACAGAACAAACGAACATACGCGCAATCTTCTTCGAAGATATGATAGACTGTATTCAGAGAAATATCCCTGATTCCATTTCTGTACGTGTAATGCCAACAGACTTACCTTGACACGACGTAAGAGAAAAATAGTTTCGTAACTATATATATATATATATATATATATATATTGTATAAAGGTAAAGCTATCTCTGTAACAGGCCATGGAAGTCTTCTGAGCTGTAACGTCGTGTAGTACGGAGACATTTCGGAGCAACATATCGCCTCCATCTTCAGGGTCAAAATGTCAGTCAAGTAAAAAATCAGCAGAAGCTGCACGGTGTTACAACACAGAAGACAGTACTCTTGATAGCTACCGCTGAAATAAGCCAAAATCCAGCAAGTGATAACAATAGGTTTCAGTTAACAGTCGAGAATGAAATATATAAGATGTGAGGTTTACACGGCGGTGGCTATGAAGAATGCCGTCTTCTGAGGTGTGTCATCGTGTAGATCTTGTGTGAACCGTCGTTTCGGAGGAACGTATCGTTTCAGGGTAGATCTACCCTGTAGATGGAGGCGATACGTTCCTCTAAAAAGTCGGTTCACACAAGATCCACACGGCGCCACATCCCAGAAGACGGCATTCTTGAGAATAAAATAATTTAATTATTATTACAATACTCTGACAAAATCATTAAATAAAATGTGTAGTAGCTACATTTTCAGTCAGGTAATTAGTCACCGCTACCCCGGGTTCAACCCAAAGAAGTACATGTCATATTTCTCATGAACATTCTTACACTGGACCTGGCTTTTTCCCCATCTTAAATTTTCTCCTGTCAATTATCAATACATCAGTGCTCATACTAACCTGTTCTCCGGGGCTGGTACAAGAGACACGTCTGAAATGGCAGTACCAAGGGACTGTCTCACCCCACTCCCACAACCGAACTAAAAACTCAACTATGTCTATTTCGTTTCCGAATCACTCCCGCCAGAAGGTATCAATGGTGCACACAGTACATCCTGCTTGGGGCAACAGGAGCTGTCTCAGGTTCGGAATCTACAGCGAGGCTCTGGAAGACGAACAGTCACACCACACCAAAACAAAAAACAAGAGGCTGCACTACGGCGTCGTCGCTGGCATGGTCTCCGTCGCGACGCTTTTAGTGAGTACCTGAATATTTTTATGAGAGGTATGTGATCCTCATGGTTATGAGTATATACATTATTGTCCTATGGAGTGTGTCGACGTATAGCCTGGCAGATATTTACAAATTTCAGGATAGCAACTTATGCAGTTACTTTTCATCAAAGAGGTAATGTTGAAACAAGTGGGACATGAAACATGCATTGGAGAAATGAGAAATGCATACAAAATATTAGTCAGAAAACCCGGGAAGAGATACTTGGGTGAAACAGGCGTAAATGACAGGATAATATTAAAGTGAGAGATCTAAACTCGTGTCATCTGACTGGCAGAGAGATTCCAGCAGAAAGCTTTTGTAATAATGGGAATGAGCGTTAGGATTTCATGAAAAGGCAAGGAATATATTAACCAACAGAGTTACAGTTACAACCTTAAACTTATTATTATTATAATTATTATTATTAACTTCCTCTGTATAGACTATTATGTAAAATTTCCCATGATTAATCATTACATATATTTTGAGAAATTGTCCCTTTGCGAGAAAATAATTCCACTACAACTACCTAACTAACACACAGCAGATTTTCACTAAATTTGGATTCATGAACACTCTAGTAATTCATGCCATTGAGATGCAGTAATTTTAACACGAATCTCTTATTTATTATTTAACAGAACCAAAATTTTGAACACATTACAGATTGACTTAAGAATGAACCTCTGGGTTATGTAAAAAATATGGTTTCTTCACCAGCTGACCGGCTATTAGTTTCTAGATAAGGACACTGCTCCAAGAAGTAATTAAGGTGGACAAATTAGAAACGCTAGCCGGTCACGGTAGCCGGCGGTCTAAGGCATGTACTGTCTTCGCTCACTTGGAAACTGGGATCGTGGGCTCGAATCCTACTGAGGGCATGGATGTTTAGTTTGTGTGTGTGCGTTTTTCTGTGTTTGTGTACAGGTAGAGGCCTTGCGACGAGCTGATCGCCCGCCCAAGGAGTCCTACCGAATGTGTAAGATCTAGAAAAACCGAAGTGAACGGAGAAGTTCATGGAGGTAGGCCTAGGCCCACNCGCGGGGCGACGGAGGGCAGAAGAAAAAAAAAAAAAAAAAAAAAGGGGGGGGGGGGGAAATTTAAAACGCTAGGGGAAGTTATGTGTTTCAAATTTCTCCTGACGCCTTCAATATATGTGACCCAACTTACTTAAAGCATGGACTTTGCAGATCATGTCACGTTTTCCTGTCAGCAGAATCCAAATAACAAATGGAACATCACGCGTAAAACTGCCTCAACATATTATAAGGTGTTTATTTATTTCTTTAATTATGTTACAAATTTTGTTGCAATGCCTTACACAGTGGCCGCTTCCCGCATAACCCGTGGTTATTACGTGGTCGGACCCCTTGTAAGAAGTACAGTATCACACAAAATTTACTTAACAATTATCGTCTACCTACTCTCCTACCTACTATACCTGTCCCTGTGCATAATTAAGCATTATGCCACGCAAACATATGGGTAGTGAAGGTATAGCTCCACCGTTCTTGACCTCAGCACTAGATAAGAGATGAGTTGTCAGTTTCACGCTCCGGTCGCTTTATACCCTGGGAAAGAGGCGACGGAATCAATCTGACTTTCAGTACCCGCGTTATACGTTAAGTGAAACTGGTACCTAATTTTGGAAATCCTGTTGTTATGTACACCGTATTTATTAAAATGTGATATTTCTACGTCTTACTCTTTCCAACAGCCCAGCGGGTTACCCAATCATCCGCTGTCGAAAGGGGTAAAAGAGGGTATTAAAGTTTTCTGTCTGAACAAAATAATCCCAACTTAGACAAACCAGAAACATAAAGTCTCTCCACAGAGCACTTCGTCCCATTCGCCTGTAAACTACAGCGAGGAATGTTGCGACGCTGTTTTATACTGTAACTGAAGCATTTCATATACATTAGTGCGTCATAACACATATGTAATCAAAAGTGCGGTATACTGGATGCCTACTGTATTTTAAAAAGTGGGTAAATGAGGTAGGAAAGACTATAACAAAGCTTAGTTTTTAAAATAGTAACATGGATTAGCTGCACTACACGGTCATAATACGGCTTACGTCTAAGTGTACCTGTTCGGATGGCTCAGTCGGTAGAAAAGCGGAAAACGGGTTAGATGGAAGGGTTACTGATAGGAGAAACAGATTTTTCACTTCTCCACAGCGTCCAGACCGGATCTGGGGCCCACCGCGTGCTCATCTCCATGTAGCGCCGCTGTCAAGAATGATGGAGTTATACCTCCACTCCCGTTATAAGTCTCCACAGCGTGGTGCTTAAGTAATTAAGCACAGTACCAATTTGCCTTATGTATGTGTCGGGATTTTAATGTTTCTAAGAATTTACATTATCGTACAAGTTTTACTTCATTTGCGAATTGCTCGTCCGAGCATATTTGGCTTTTGCGGCTATTTCAATTCTGCGTTACCCGACCCAACAGCAATAACAACTTCTATATGCAAGCCGAGAGCCTAACTGAAACGACACACTGATTTACGTTCCTTATTTAACGACGCTGTTAGTATCGAAACTACTGTCACGTAGTATGAGTGACTACCGACGGAGTTTGGGATAATTGGATTTATTGACCACTTACAAGCCGCAACTACAGACAACTACAGCACTACCGCTGATTTCCAAACTTTACAGTTCACTACAGCACACGCTAAGCCTCGGGATTTTATAGTCTCCCCTAGTCGTTGTTTTGTAGCAGCTCTCGACAATGGAGATTCTTCAGCTAGTGTACTAATGCCGTTCCCCAGTGGCTAACAGTACTTAGAACCGAACTCATTGCTCCAGTTGTCCCGTTTATAACATCCCGGTACGGACCACAGAGAAAATACCCTGTTTCCAGCAGTCTACTGTTGCGTGCATGTTCGTTGCCGCGCAAACGTGTTTACCGAGCCGTTGGGTAGAAACGGCCGTTCTTTACAGATTTATTGCTTAGCAACGGATCTATCCGCCACACCATATCGCATAGCGTCACATGACAGGATGACTGATGAATAAGCAGCAGTTGGTGGCATGAAAATTGGCAGGAGAAACCGAAGTAATCTTATAAAATTTGCCGCAGTACTATTTTGTTCAGCACAAATCCCGGATGATCTGATACGGGATGGGACCCGGCCCGCCGAGGTTGTTAGTCAGCGAGTAACCACCCGACCTATGGAACAACTTATTACGAAGCAAAGAAAGGTTTTAGGCCTTATGACAGAGATTAAAAGAAAATGTTTAAATTATATAAAAATTTCGAAAATGTTGACATTAAAAACAAACGGCATTTCCTGTGAAGATTGAAATCAGAATATTTACTGAGGCGACTGGTGTAGTAGCGCTGTAGACTTGTATTTGGGAGGTAATGATTTCGAATTTCGAACGGGATACCATCATTGCAGGAATTTCGTGGGTTCCTCAAGTCAACCAACTACGTTATTATTGCAGGAGTTTTGTAGATTTCTCAAGTCAACCAACTATCATTGCAGGAGTTTCGTGGGGGTTTCAAGTCAACCAAATATCGTTATAGGAGTTTCGTGGGTTTCTCAAGCCAACCAACTATCAATACAGGAGTTTCGAGAGTTTATCAAGTCAACCAACTATCAATACAGGAGTTTCGTGGGTTTCTCAAGTCAACCAACTATCATTACAGGAATTTCGTGGGTTTCTCAAGTCAACCAACTATCATTACAGGAGTTTCGTGGGTTTCTCAAGTCAAATGTCGGAATATTAGCTCGATTATGTCACGACGGCATCTTTCCAAATCCTTTCCAATTCTTTACTGATCCTTCCACTATACAGCAAACTGACAAAAACAAAGAATGGTTATGTATGTGTAACAGTCTGACAGAACAGGCAGACACTGTTACACTCTTCCGCTTATAAACAGACGAATTCTTTTATTATTTTATGTTCTGTTGCTGCTTTTACTTCCGTGAAAGTTCATGTACGGCTTCTTTACTCTTCGATTGGATATGCCAATCTTAAATATAGAACTATGGAGAAAGATACCTCCATCACAGCCTCCTAGTTTGAAGACAATTAAACACCCACTTTCTCATAAAGCGAGAAAAAAAGTTAAGTAGATCCGATATCTGTGAAAACCCCTGACACGGCGACGCCTTTGGCTTATCATGGATCCTAATTACACGGCCCTAGAGGTAAATACAGAAACTCTTAACTACTTTCTGGGAGTATGTTTTCTTTCAAACGGTGTGACATTAAAAAAAATAAAGAGCCGAGCCAGCTCAATGTGTATGGTTACGAGCTACACTGCGGTGGTTAGATTTCCGGCAAATTCAAGAGGTTTTTCTGCACTCCACAGCGTCAAGACCGGCTCCGGTGTCCAACCAGCCTCCTATCCAATGGGTACCGAGGGCTTTTTCCCCTTCAGTAGCGCACCCGGAGGGAGATGCTGACGGCACACCTCCATCTAGTACCGAGATAAATGCTGGTAACGCTATGATTCCACTTTCCCATAAGTCTTCGTGGCGTAATGCTTCATTAAGCACAGGGACAACTTTACCTTTCTCCACGCCACATTGACAAAACTCAGTCACTATTCATTCATCAGCTCAAGTTACCAGTAGAATCGGCGACGAGTGTACGACTGTACACAGTGAGGTGGGGGCTACATACATTGTGTCTGAAGACAACGCGCTGAAGAAAATATCTGGGACGTAATAAAGATTATTCAGAGGAAATTCGTGGGTACCTTCCGGGTTATCTGAAAAATATGAGTACTTATACTGCATACCGTAACTTCGATCGGGAGAATGACAATAATAAATTACAAAGGATTTAGAAGGAAATGGTCGTGACCTAATCGAGGTATTATAGCAGTCAAACAAAAGTCACGAAAAAAAAAACTCGTTCAAAATGGCAGGTGTCGTAAGTCCTGATTCGAACCGTGCACCTCGCGAATACGGACTTACAGCGTTGCAATACACCGTGTCATACGCTCAGGAACTTCAT